GGGCATATAGGATAGATAGAGTTTTGCATTTGTGTGTGAAAGTCAAAAGCATTATTTTTATATATAAAACTATTTTTCTATTTGTGGAAAGATGATTGAGAAAAGGATGCTCGGGTTCTCTACGGAGGCCTATAATAGGTACGCCTCTCTACCTAGGAAAGGCTCTCCTCGACGCTGTAGGTAACTTTCCTGGGAGACGCGGGCTCGACCGTCCTATATCATGAATTAAGTACATTATTATTATTTTCGAAAATAAAAAGAATTGAAACTTGAGTTGTGTGATTATGTGTGCATTAAAGTTGGTATTAAAACACCTTAGGGTATGGTCTATAGGTCCGAAATTTTTGAGCTATTACCCATGGTTGGGTGATCTTGAGTTATACTTGGTTGATTGAGTTATGAATTGCTTATTACAAATGGATTTTGAATTGAATTGAATTGTTTATGTGATTCAACATTAAATTGATTGTTTTGAATGTGTTTGTGAAACAGATGGAAATGACTGATGATATAAGAAAGAATTACTTTAACTTGGATTACTTGAAAGATGATGGAGTCACAGTTAGTGAGTTTATTACTGGAATTGTTGCTTTGTCCATAAACATTTATGAGAAGTATAACCTAGAAGCTTTGACCCAACCACCGTGTATGGTTCTTTTGGCCTTAGCCCATCTACCTAGAGTTCCCAAATATCAACCTCTCTTTGACAAATGTGGGGATGTGATCAAGAAGAATGGGTTGTGGAATGAAAAAACACCATCATGAGGGAAGTGGTTAGCAAGCATCTCTAGCCTTAAGAGAGACTTGCACTATGTGGAACGTAAGTTTTAACCTAGGAGGAGAATTGTGAAATTTCCTAAACTCCCAGCAAACACTTCATTGAGAGAAGATGAGAAAATGTACTACTTAAATGCCCAACATACCGCAAAGACCCTCATGAGTTTGTGTCATCTAGTGATAAGTCCATACCACCTCTTGGTAGGAGCAAGAATTACCCTTCTTCTACTCGTACTCCAAGCTATAAACCTCCAAAACATCCAAGTCCAAAAGTTCACTTTCATATTGCAAAAAGGTCTAGAACTCGTACCTAAGCTGTCAATAAAAAATAACCAAGTCAGAAAGTTCAAAAGCCAATGTTTCTTCAAACCAACCTCGTGGTGATGTGAGCCCAATCAAAAGCCCAAGTTACACTCTAGGCCCGGACAATAATCTAAGTGAATCAGGGTCAAGTTCTTCAGATCGTACTCCAAGCTATAGTGGCTATAACCCAACTTTCATGACTGACCCAAGTGATAGAGATAAGTCCAAGTGAGATGATCATGACTATGATCCGGATGAAGATGACTATGCTGAAAGTGTTGCTTGAATGATTGAACTATGATTATGTTTATAGCTTTCAATAATTGCCTTAGATGGAAAAGTTGTACTTCTCTTTAATTATTAATTAGATGAAGTTATTTTTTATTAAAATTTTCTTTATGTTAATAAGCGAATTAAATGCTTATGTGAGTAGAACTTGTTTTAATTTTCAATGTATACCCAGGAAGTATCTCTGCAAGGATGAGAGACCAAGTGAGAAGTAAGCGCACTGGTTCCAAAGTAGGGAAGGTCCTTAGAAAGTTAACCCATATCACTGAAAACATCATGAAAGTGGTGAACAAGGAAGACCGAAATTCTGACCTTAACTCTTATAGTGAAGTTTTTAAGAGAGTTGCTGCAGCCAAACCACCTGCTTACTTGGGAAAGGAAAACCTAGCCAGCCTTGAAAACTAGATTAGGGAGTTTGACAAGTTATTTGATGCTATTAATTTCCCAAGTGAGCTGAGGGTGAATAATGGTGTTTACTATTTGAGGGAGGAAGCTAACTTATGGTGGGCCCAAAGAAAGGATGAGTTGTTGAAAAGACCAAACTTTGGGTGGGAGGAGTTTAAGGAAGCCTTAAGGGAGAAATTTTACCCTTCCTACCTGAGAAAGCAGATTTGCATCGAGTTTACCAACCTGAGAATGGGGAACATGTCTATTAATGAGTACTACAACAAGTTCATAGAGTTGATGAGGTTTGCCCCGGAAGTAGTCCCTACCGAAACCATCAAAGCTTAGAGTTTGAGCAAGGCCTAACCCTGACCCTCCAAGGGAAGCTAGGGGGAGTTACTTTTGAGACCTTAGATGAAGTCTATGTCCGTGCAGCCCACCTGTACGAAATCATGGGGAGGGAAATGGAGCATGTTAGAGAAAAAGGGAAGAACCTGAACTCTTTTCACGGGGATGAAAAGAGGCTTAAGCCCAAATGGTAAGTACCAAGAGAATTCTGGAGATAGGAGGGAAAACAAGGGGAACTTTGGGAAAGGGAATGGAGGCCAGTCGTCCAATGCTAAAGGGAATGGAAACCAAAGGAGTGAGAAGCCTCAGAGAAAGTATTTCTAAAAGCGATGTGGACCACCTCAGTCTAGTGGACCTACACCCAAGGTTGGAACCAATAGCATTGTAGGAGATGCCCCAAAAGGTCGCGTGTTCGTGATGAACAGTTGTGAGGCTAAAACTGCTAATAATGTGGTAATTGGTGTTTTCCTTATAAGTTCCTTGCCTGTGAAAGTTTTGTTTGATTCGGGGGCATCCCGTTCCATTATTTCTAAGAGATTAGTTAGAAGTCTTGAGTTAGAAAGTCCTGAGTCAGTTTCTCTAGATGTGTCTATTCCGTCTGGAGAATGAGGAGTTGTTCCAAGTTGTTTAAGAGTGTACCTATTTCCATTTCTTGGGTAGAATTTCTTTCGGATTTGTCGAGTTGGATTTGAAGGATCTCGATGTAATTCTAGGTATGATTTAGGTGGGAAAGTATGAAGCAAAGATTGATTGTGCAGCTGAAAAGGTTACTTTTATTAGCCCAAGTAAGGCTAGGGTGGTGTATAAAAAGGAGGGGAAAAGTTCAGGGTTGAGAATTATTTCTGCGATGCAACTACACAAGCTGGTTAAGAAGGGTTGTCCTTTGTTTTTCTGTAGTGTTCAAGAAATTAAAAGTGAGGTAAAGAAGGGTGATGGAAGTATACTTGTTGTAGAGGAGTTTCCTAATGTATTTCCAGATGAGAAACCTGGTATGCCTCCAGTGAGGGATGTTGAGTACACTACCCACCTAATGCCTGGTACCAGACCTATTTCTAAAGCTCCATATAGGATGGCTCCAGCTGAGATGAAGGAGTTGAAGACTCAGTTGGATGATTTGTTGGAAAAGGGTTACATTCGACCTAGTTCCTCACCTTAGGGAGCTCCAATGTTATTTGTAAAGAAATTAAAGGAATGGTGTCCTTCGAACAAGTGTATTATTCCGATAGAGGGTTCAGAATTATTAGAAAGCTAATTATTTAGTGAGGTCAAGTAATCGGTATGCCTAGCTGAAGGTCGCTTTCGAACAGTAATATTAATGTATAATTAATATTACAGCTTAATCGTAACTGAACCCTTCGGGTCACACCCAATCGAGTAACTGAACAAATACGACGAATTAATCCAAAGGATTAAGTGAGTCATTAGAGTATTACGAACAAAGACGTCGGATATCGAGCTTAGAGCATCGAAACCGAGCGTCGTAAGTCGAATCGAATTTAGGATTCGACGAGACGAGAAATCAAGCAAACAACAAGTTAAAGCTAAGTCGTAGCCCCGCATTGGCCTAGCCATGCGAAGGCTAGGCTAGCATAGGGCATCAACCGCTAAGCATGGTTGTGCTTTAAGCGAAGCATGCATGCGCGTGCTTGGCTTGCTGGCCGAGCATGCTTGCGGGGCTGGTGCGCCTGGTCGCACGCAAGCTAACACCAGCATGCACCAAAGCATCGGTGGGCTTAGCAGGGGCCTAGCAGCAGCACCATGCCGAGCCAAGCTAGCAGCATGCGCATGCTAGGCATCGCCAGCTAGCAACTAGCGCACCATGCATGCTAGCGTGCTAGAATGCTGGTACCTTGTACTCAGCAGCCCACAAGCATCGCAGCAGCTAGGCGCTGCCTAGCATAAGCAACGCATCAGCAGCTGCAGCTCGCATAGCGTGCGAGGCCTGTTGGATGTGCGTGGTCATATGTGGGCTAGCTAGCAGGCCCAGCCATGGCGCTAGGCACCAGCAAGGTTACCTTGGCTGCCAAGGCAGGCCACCAGCTAGCACTTGCGTGTGGTTGGCTTGTGCGTGTGGGAGCTTTTGCGTGTGAGTTTGCTTGGGGAGCAAGGGGAGGGTGGTCCCCCCTTGTGGTCCTCACCTAACCCCTTTCTCACCACTTAACACTTGTTGTTTGTTGATTCATCTACATTTCAATTTGATTTTTGAATTAAATTAAATTGAATAAAAAGAAATTTTACCAACTTTCCCACATTGATGGGAGATTGGAATTCAAGGGCTCCCTTCCCTATAAATACCAATCATTTAGCATTGGGAAGGGACACTTGAGTTGTGAAGTTTAAGGGATCTCAAAGAAGAGAAAACCTTTGTTCTAATACTCTAAGTTCTTTTGGTCTAGCCCCAATTAAGCTTCGGGGTAGGGGCCGTCCGGGTCGGGTCTTGAGGGTGAGAGCCATTAGAGGCTTGCGCATTTCCGGAGCTTTACGCTTTCAAGTTCGAGCTCTAAAAGGAGTGAAGCACGCATCAAGGGTATAATCGTCTTTCTCTCTCTCTCTTTGTTAATTAATTATGTGACTGTTAATTAATATGCATGTTTAGTTACATTAATTTGTGTGCGGATTTTGGGAGGGTTTCATTCCGCGTAGTGTTGGACACTATGAAACCCAACAAGAAAAAGGATTAAAGTATGAGGTTGTGTATTGATTATAGAGAGTTAAATAAGTTGACAGTGAAGAATAAGTATTCATTACCAAGGATTGATGATTTGTTTGACTAGCTGAAAGGGGTTGGAGTATTTTCAAAGATAGACTTGAGATCCAATTATCACCTGTTGAGAATTGCGGAACAAGATGTAGCAAAGAGTGCTTTCAAGACCCGTTATGGTCATTAAGAGTTCACATTTATGTCGTTTGGTTTGACCAATGCACCAGCAGTGTTCATGGATTTGATGCATAGGATTTTCAGGTCATATTTGGACAAGTTTTTAGTGGTATTTATTGATGATATCCTGATTTATTCAAAGGATAAAGAAGAGCATAAAAAGCATTTGAGAAAAGTGTTGTCATATTTAAGAGAGCACCAGTTGTATGCAAAGTTGTCTAAGTGTGAATTCTGGTTGGAAAAAGTAGCATTTTTGGGCGATGTGATTTCCAAGGAAGGAGTCTCAGTGGACCCAAGTAAGATTCGAGCTGTCAATGATTGGTCAACTCCAAAGAATGTGTCGGATGTAAGAAGTTTCTTGGGTTTGGCAGGCTATTACAGAAGGTTTGTGAAGGATTTTTCAAGGATTGCAAAGCTCGTGACAAGTTTGATGAAAAAGGAGCATAAGTTTTCATGGACTCAAGAGTGTGAAGAGGCGTTCAAGACCTTGAAGGAAAGGTTAACCACAACACCTGTGTTGACTTTCCCTAATGGAAGTGATCTATATGAAGTGTATAGTGATGCATCGAGGTTTAGACTGGGATGTGTTTGATGCAAAGTCAAAGGGTGATTGCGTATGCTTCAAGGTAATTGAAATCACACGAAGGAAATTACCCAACCCATGATTTGGAGTTAGCTGCAATAGTGTTTGCTTTGAAGATTTGAAGGCATTATTTGTATGGGGTGACTTGTGGGATTTTCACAGATCATAAGAGTTTGAAGTACATTTTCACCCAAAAGCATTTGAATGGGAGGCAGAGAATATGGTTGGAGTTTCTAAGTGATTATACGTTGGATATTTAATATCATGAAGGGAAGGCTAATGTGGTGGCAGATGCTTTAAGCAGGAAGTCAGAACATTCAGTGAATGTGATGGTATTGCCAGACTAGTTATGTGTGGAATTCCAGAAGTTGAATTTGGAAGTGATAGAGCATGGAGAAGTGACTAGGATGTTGAATGCCTTGGTGATTCAACCATCCATTTATGATGAGATCATGGAAAGTCAGCTAGAAGATGAGAATTTAAAAGCGATTAAGAAAAAGATTGATGAAGGTCAGGTGTTGGATTTCACCATTGGTGATGAAGGAAGTATTCGTTTTAAGGGAAGATGGTGTGTACCGCAGAGTCGTGGGGATTTAAAGCAGAGATTGATGGAAGAAGCCCATAATTCTCCTTATTCAATGCATTCTGGAGGGGATAAGTTGTATAAGGACATGAAGAAGACTTTTTGGTGGCCGAATATGAAGAGAGAAGTAGCTGAATTTGTGGCCAAGTGTTTGTCATGTCAAAAAGTAAAGATCGAGCATCGTAGGCCTCAAGGAAAGGTCCAATCCTTGGAGGTGCCCAAGTGGAAGTGGGATTCGATTTCTATGGATTTCGTTGGAGGGCTGCCTAAGACCAAGGCAGGGGATGACACTATTTGGGTAATAGTGGACAGGTTGACAAAGTCATCAGCATTTATACCCATGAGAAGTACTTGGACTATGGATCAGTTAGGAAAAGCTTATGTGAAGTTTGTGGTGAAGTACCATGGGGTACCCACGGATATCATTTCAGATAGAGATTCAAGCTTCCTATCTAACTTTTGGCAAAGTTTGCAAAAGGCAATGGGAATGAAGTTGTTAATGAGCACATCATTTCATCTTGCGACAGATGGTCAGACTGAAAGGACAATTCAGACATTGGAGGGTATGTTGAGATTTTGTGTGATGGAGTATCAAGGGTCTTGGGAAGACCACTTGGATTTGATGAGTTCTCTTACACCAACAGTTATCATGCAAGCATTTAAATGGCACCGTTTGAAGCTTTGTTTGGAAGAAGGTGTAGAAGCCCTGTCTGTTGGAATGATATAAGTAAAACTATGGTACTTGGGCCAGAGATGATTGAGGATATGGTGAAACAAGTGAAGTTGATCCAAGAAAAGATAAAAGCAGCCCAAGACCGACAGAAAAGTTAGGCTGATTTGAAAAGGAGGGAGGAAGAATATGAAGTAGGAGATAAAGTTTTGTTGAAAATTTCACCCATGAAAGGTGTAATGAGGTTTAAGAAGAAGGGAAAGCTGAGCCCAAAGTACATAGGGCCATATGAAATCATTTAAAAAGTGGGAAAAGTGGCATATGAGTTGGATTTGCCCAATGAGCTGGAAAGGGTTCACAATATATTCCATGTGAGTCAAATTCGAAAGTATATACCCGACGTGACACATGTGTTACAACTAGAAACCATTGAGATGGATGAAAATTTGACCTATGAGGAAAGACCAATGAAGATTCTGGATTCTAAAGTGAGAAGTACAAGGAATAAGGATGTGAGAATTGTGAAAGTGTTGTGGTCAAATCAGAAAACTGAGGAGGCTACATGGGAAGCTGAGGCTGATATGAGGAAACGTTACCCAGAGCTTTTTTTCCTAAGGTTAGTGGTCGAGTTACGTGGGCGTAACTCCTTTTAAGGGGGGTAGAGGGCAATAGAGTTTCGCGTGTTTGCTTTTCGAGTCATTTTTGAGTGATTTCGAGTCTTTCTTGAGTTAGTAGGAGTCTTGAGCCAAGTTAGAATGTGCATGAACCAATAATTTAAAATGATTTTCATATTTCTTATGGCTAAGTTTCGGGACGAAACTAAGGGGGGTAGACTGTAATACCCTGTATTTTTTAAACGTATTTTCTAATAATTAATTTATTATTATTTTTTAAAATGGGTATTTTAGTAATTTATTCTACTATCTGAATTTTGGAGCCAAAATGATGTTTGAATTTTGGCGCCAAAAGTATTTTAAAACTTAATTATTATTTTTTGATTTTGAATAAGATTTATTATCCATTTATTTTATTTTAAAAACCGGATTAATTATATATATTTCAGATATTTTAATTAAGCAAAAAATTTATATTTTATTATTTAAATGAGGAGCTCCGAAAAATTCCCATTAATTGGCTATTAATTTCGGATTTTCCTAGTGTGTGGAAAATCTTATTTTCTTAGTTAATTAATTTAGTGAATAATTGGTATTCTCTTAATTAATTATTTTATACAATATATATTATTTACACAATTATTATTAATCCCTTAAATCTAGAAAAATATTTCCCTAAATACTACATAGGGTGTTCGAAATTTTGAGCTATGGAAGCTCAAAAATTTCGGCCACCAAGGTTGGATATTGGGTGAATTATTTTGGTAAATTGTATTTTAAATTATCTCCCTTAAATCTATTATTTTTCTTAATTTTTATTTCCTATCTCCTAAATATTTGATCATCTTATTTCCCTACCTTATTTCATCCTTGATTATTCCCCAAACAAACTCCTTTTGCCATATTATTTTTCATGACAACATACTTTCCTTAATTTTATTATTCTCAAACTTTCCATATTTCCTTAACACTCTTCTCCAAGTAATTTCCTTATTTCTTTTTACCATAATTCTTCCTACATTATGTTACCATAATTCATGCATGAGCTAGCCTATAAATACCCATTGATTCACAGATAAACACTCACACCAAATTCTTTAATTCTCTATTTCATTTTCTCTTCTCTTTTTCTTTTCTTTTTCTTTTCTTCCACCACCACCACCACCACCAATCACCACGACCACCACCCTCCACCGTCAGCCGCCACCTGCTGCCGACCACCACCGCTGACCACAACTGCGGCAGCCGCCAACTGCCCCACCGTGCCGCCACCTTCTTCTCTCTTTTCCTTGGTTTTCTACCTCTTCTTCTTCTTCTCTTCTCTTATTTAATTAATTATTATTATTATGGGGATTTATAAAAATTATTATGAGTAGTTTTAATTAAATAAAATCATATTTTTATTCATGTTTATGAAAAATAATTTAAAAGGTTCATGTACATATAGAGTTGGGGTTTTTTAATTTAATTGTTGTGATTATTTTGTAAACCTTATATTAATTAAGGTTATATTTATTGTAGGGTGGGTTTGATCCAAGTTCTTGAAGTTTCTTTGTGTGTTCTAAACAAGGACCAAAGGTACGTTTAGGTGGCTAGATACCTTTGAAATTGGTTGGATTGAATAAGCAAGTTTTATATGATTTTCATGATGATTGAATTAAATTAAATTGAATTATGATTTATGAAATAAAAGCATGTTAAAATAATTGGTTTGATAAATAAATAGGAGAATATATGTTATATCATGTTTTGAATGGTTTGAATTACTTATCATGTTTGAACAAAGGAATTGATTTGAAAAGTTGATGAATTAAACAAAATGATGATGATGATCTAGAGAACATAGTTCGGAATTTTTATGAGAAACTCTTCTCTTCTTCTGGTCCATCTACGGTGGAGTGTGAGCAGGTGCTTGAGGCTATTGTTCCATCAATTTCGGCCGAGGACAATGAGTTTCTTCTTAGGCCCTTCGACAAAGGTGAGGTTTTTATGGCGATTTGTGCTATGCACCCTTGTAAGGCTCCGGGGCCTGATGGGTTACATGCAACTTTTTATCAGAAATTTTGGCATGTTGTTGGTGATGCGGTGTTTGAAAAGGTTAATAGCTTTCTTAGTGGTTTTTTTGTCTCCGGAATCTAATAAGACAAATATTGCTTTAATTCCGAAGGTTTTTCCAAGGAAGAGTTATTGATTAAGAAGATTGAAGGTGATGATGATGATTTTTGGTGATTGAATACAGGGTGAAATGACCTCTATTTATAAGGAAAAAAAAGAGTCGAAGCGATCAGAAAAGATCCGAATTCAAACGGGATAAAATAGGTTTCATCGCAAGGCGATAAGAGTATTGTGCCGCGATAGTTTTGTCGTTCTGCGATGGTTTTCTAAAGATAAGAATCCGTACGGAGTTTGAATTCCAATCAGATTGGGTTAATCAAATATATGTACGTATTCTATTTTGACCAGGATTAGGATTATTAAAAAAGATATGTTTTATTCAATACCAAATTCTTTAACCTTATCTTTTAGAGAAAAGATAAATTAGAACCTTCTAGAGGATTCTAGAAGCTCCTAATGAATCCTAATGGATATAGGATTGAAAATAACCATCTAGATGATTCTAGAAGCTCGTAAAAAATTCTAATTGGTTTAGGATTAGGATCAAGGTATTTGGACCCTCACATGGTCATTGGGTTGTATGTAAGATGGACCTAAGTCCGGCTTGGGCTCGGTTTAGTATTTTGGCCATAACTTTTTCGTTATAAGTCGGATATGGGCTTATAATATATCGTTGGAAAACTCTTTTCAAGCCTCATCCGACTAAACAATAATTAGACCAGGATTATGAAACAAAATAATTTGGTTTTGATTTTTTTTAAGGTTTTGACACGAAATGAATGATTTTAAGGACATGACATGGATGATTTTGGCTTAAAAGACACGAAATAAATGGTCTTGGATTAAAAAAATTTAGGTAAGGTTAGGGGTATATTTAAGGCTTACGGGAAATTCACGAGACTCTTCAACTCTTTACCAAACTCATCAATCAAAGACGTGAAAGGTACTCAACATTGAGTTTGGTTTTTGGGGAAACACAATCTGGTGTCTATAGAAGCCCCCACTTTAAATGAGTAAGTTTTGAAAACAACAGTCAAAGTAGATCGAAAGGAATGGAGAATGATTCAGAACGTTTGGCGATCCTAAATCATATTTTTTAACGCCGATACCTGCAAAAAGCGTCGGTTCTACAAATAAAGGAGTTAAGAAACGCGTATCTGGGTTTGCCGAGCACACATCTCTGGGTGACAACTCATCGAATCAAAGCTTTGTTGTTTGACAACATCCTTATTCTCAGGGAACGCCGTCGAAGAACGCTACGCTTCGAGCCATCTTCTTAAATCAAGGGGAACAACCTTCGCATTTTCAGGAAGCACTATCGAAGACCACTTCGCTTCGAGTTGTCTTCAAAATCTTCTCGTCTTCACGCCTTAGAAGTGATAGTTTCTCACGCTTTAGAAAATCTTTCGTAAAACCTAACTCTT